CAGCATTTGGTAATTCTGCAGCCAAGGGCCGCATCAGAAAGTGCTTAAAGGCAAAGATGAGACTGACACGTAAGCTGAGCCTGCCCGAGCCATAGTACTCCGTGTCCTCAGCATGAGAAAGCTGGACATGAACAAAGACAAAAGAACTGGCGTCTCTGAACTGTGGTGTGGACAAAGAATACAAGCTCGAGAATGGACTGCCAGAAGGACAGTCTCGTCTTGGAGAGAGTACCACCAGGAGGCTCCTTGGAGGTGAGAATGAGGGGACGGCATCTCACGTACTTTGGTCAGTCCCTGGAGACGACCCCCAGCTCGGTAAATCACGGAGACTGAGGAAGACCCTCAAGGAGGTGGGCCCAGTGGCTGCACCCACAGGTGAAGCACCCACAGGTGAAGCACCCACAGGTGAAGCACCCACAGGTGAACAGGTGAAGCACTCACAGATGAACAGGTGAAGCACCCACAGGTGAAGTGCCCACAGGTGAAGCACCCACAGGTGAAGCGCCCACAGGTGAAGCGCTCACAGGTGAAGCGCTCACAGGTGAAGCGCCCACAGGTGAAGCACCCACAGCTGAAGCGGTGAAGCACTCACAGGTGAAGCACTCACAGGTGAAGCACCCACAGGTGAAGCGCCCACAGGTAAAGCGCTCACAGGTGAAGCACTCACAGGTGAACAGGTGAAGCACTCACAGCTGAAGCGCCCACAGGTGAAGCACTCACAGGTGAAGCACTCACAGGTGAAGTGCCCACAGGTGAAGCGCTCCCAGCTGAAGCGCTCCCAGGTGAAGCGCTCACAGGTGAAGCGCCCACAGGTGAAGCACCCACAGCTGAAGCACCCACAGGTGAAGCACTCACAGGTGAAGCACCCACAGGTGAAGCACTCATAGGTGAAGCACCCCCAGCTGAAGCACCCCCAGCTCCAGTGCCAGGCTGGTGCAGGCCGGGCAGTGACTCGGTGTACACGGCTGGCTCACTGACTCCTCCCTCCCCGCAGCAACAACAGCACGGCTGCCTCCACCCCCTCCCCTTCCCCAGGAGCCCTAACAAGTAACATAAGGAACTCGGCGGGACATTGGTCACTGGTGCTCACCTGCTAACCAAAGGATGGGCAGTTCAAACTCCCTAGCCACTCCTGGGGAGGGAGACGCGTTAATCTGCCTCCTGAGAGAGTACAGCCACGGGGTAGTCTCACTTCCCCACGGCACTTTTCACACACGGAGCCCACTTCCCAAAGCCCTGCCCTGGCTCCAGAGTCCCAGGGAAGATTCCCTCTCCGAAGGGACACTGTGTGACCCCGGGTTGCTGGGAGAGTGGGGACAACCCTGGGCTCTGGTCACAGCTAGGAACACCTGTGGGACTTCACTGGGTCTCAGGACGGTCATCGGCAAATGCAAACTCTGCCCCTGACGTCCCTCCTTGGGCCTCACCCACCTCAGGGGTTGAGAAAGCCCAACAGAGGCTCTAGGTCAGGGTATTTACTTGTCCATCCCTTTCATGGGGTGGGGGGCTGGCAGGGAGGCCTAGATTCCTGAGGTGGGCGTGATTCTGGGAGGAGGAGGGGGCTGGGAGGAGCCTCAGTGCGGGACCACTGCTACTTCCTGCACCCCTACCTTGACTCGGGGTCACAGGTGTTGGCACCTCGTGAAACTATCAGCCAACAATCTTCCCTGTGACCTAATCCGCTGGCAGATGAAGTAACTCATTGGAGCCAAACCCCTTGTAAGGGATACAATGAAATTCGGACTTACGGCGGCCTAGCTCCAAAACACAGCTTCCCACACGTGCTGTCCCAGCGCCTCTGGAGGAGAAGTGGTGCAGGGTCCCCCCTCCTCCTCCCAGAGGGCTCCCAGGGATGGGGTGTCAGCACCCACAGGGCAAGGCTTGATGGGGAAGGTAAGGGCTGACTGTTCCCCGATACAGAGGGGGTGACAACGGGTAGCGAAAGCAGCCTGTGGACTGGCCACCCACCGATCAGAATGGACCAGTCTGTGGAGGTGTGTTAACACAACGGGTGTCACATTAAAGGGAGAACCCAGGACCGATACACATGGCCACACGGACGCCTCCCTCAGATCACAAGGAGTGTGGGGCCCAACACACAGGGACACCAAGGGGACTCCAATTCTACTCTGATGTGAGGCTGCGTACCAATGAGACTGCCTAGGATTCTCTGGTTTGCCATATAAGATGCAATCATTCCTGATGGGATTTGTGACGCAGCCAATTAGTTGGAAGGGGTGTGGCCTGCACTGACCATCTGTAGAAGTCTGGTAAAGTTCTCTGGCTTTTTGTCTCATCTGTTCCCCACACCTGGCCATCACCTTTTTGGACCTGGACTTGAATCAGTGGTCCAACTTCCCTGCCAACCTTAGACTCATAAGCTACGTGTGATGGGAGGACCCTCTCCTGAAGTCTGACCCACGTACTAGGACCGGTGAGCCTCTCCAAGCACAGGAGCCGCTTCCTAAGGGTTGCTGCTGTTGTTATGTGCCATGGAGTCGCTTGTGACTCATAGTGACCCTGTGTACAAGAGGCCTAAACGCCGTTCTATCCTGTGCCAACCTCACTGTCTCCGACACACTCATTCCCACCACTCCACTCACAGAATCGATCCATCTCATCAAGGGTCTTCCTCTCCTGCGCCGTCCCTCCACTCTCCCAAACATGACGTCCCTCTCCAAGGACCAGTCCCTCGTGCAACATGCCCAAAGTATGTCAGACGAAGCCTCAGAATCCTTGACTCCAAGGAGCATTCCGGCTAAATAAATCAACAAACAAACAAATCTGCTTCAAAAGCAGTGCAGCCAGAATGCTCCCTGGAGGCCAAGGATATGAGGCTGGTCTCGTGTACATTGTACGCTGTCAAGAAGGGACAGTGCTTTGAAGAGGACAGCATGCTGGGAGAAGTGGAAGATGGGTCAAGGAGAAGACCCTCAGTGAGATGGCTCGAAGCAGCTGCGACCATGCGCTTAGACTGTGGTCCAGGGTCACCGAGGCAGAGGCAACCCAGTGGCATCTAGAGAAAACACACGCGCGCACGCGCACACACACGTTTCAATAGTTTAGCTTCTCTGAGAACCCAGACTAAGATGTACAAAGTTCAAAACCAAGCAGAACTCATCTGTCCCATGTTGGCACAACAGCTGTCTTTGGAGGGAGGGAGCCACTCCCGGGATCGAGGGTGAGTCCTGGGACACAGACGTAAAGGAGTGGCAGGTTGGGAGTTCAGGCTCGCATGCTGTACTGCACGTAAATGACTGCTTGTCATTTGTGCCTGACAGCTTCTGCTCCCAATCCAAGTTCTTTGGAAAGTCCACAACCTAGAGCCTTCCCAGGCCAGGGACGCAGTCCACACGCACCGGGCCAGCGTGAGCACAGATGCACACTCAGAACCATGCTTGGGCTACGGTCCGGGTGCACCTTGGTGTCCACTGGGCCCCATGGCTCCAACTTCAGGCCCGACAGACACATACTGGTCACCTCACCAGAGGACCTCACCTGAGGACCAGGCTTTCCCATGTGCCACCTCAATCCTGTCAGGAGCCGCAGCAGCAGTGATGACAGTTCTAACACAGACACTGCGGGCACCATGTACCAGGCGGCCTACTAAGTGCCTCACAGCCTAGCCTGTGGGCACACCAAAACGCTTCAGGGCATCGCCACTCTACAGACACGGCATCGAGGCACAGGAGAAGGGTCATTTGTCCATGGGCTTCCTGCTGGAATGTGGCAGCACTGAGACGCAAACCCTGCAGGGGTCTCAAGCCCGGCCCCTTACTGAGTCCTGCTGAGGTAAGTGCACCAGCAACCTCAGGACCAGATCCTGCCCTAGGGCACCAACCACCTCCACACCCACAACCAGGGCTCCCACCACCTCCACACCCCACACCTAGGACTCCCACCTTCTCCACACCCCACACTCAGAGCGCCCACCACCTCCACACCCCATACCCAGGGCACCAACCAACTCCACACCCACACCCAGGGCTCCCACCACCTCTACACCCACAACCAGGGAGCCCACCTCCTCCACACCTCACACACAGGGAACCCACCTCCTCCACACCCCACACCCAGGGCGCCCACCACCTCCACACCCCACACCCTGGGCTCCCACCACCTCCACACCCCACACCCTGAGCTCCCACCACCTCCACAGCAGAAGCTCACCTCCTCTCCACCCATGTTTACATGACCTTCCCTCTACCTCATGCCCAGGACAACTAGACCCTGAGCAGTAGCTGTCCTCCATCAATTGCCAATATGACAAATTTTCAACCACAGTCACAAGTCTTTGTGTTTCTTGCTTTTCACTGTCTTACGTTTTCTGCCAAGCCCCACCCACTCTACACCACATCCAGCGTCATGCCGACACCCAGCCTTCCTCTCCATAATGCCCATGACCTTCTACTTCACCCTGACTCCTTCCTGGAGGCAGCCAATGCCCCTGGGACGCGGGATGGTGGGCTTTCCTGGGACAGACCACGTAGCCCTGTTCTGGGTGCCCTTGGGTACATGCCTCCCTGTGCTGGAACCCCATGTCTTCTCACACTGTGGAAGCCAGCAGGTCCAGGCATGGCCTGTATCTCCTTTTCTGGATTCCGCTCTCTCTGCACGTCCTTTGTGGGGTCCCTGTCCACTGTGTCCCCCAAGCTGTTTAAGGGTTTGCGTGAGGGAAAGAAAGCACAGCTTCTTCCTCTATTCACTCTGACAGTCTCTGTGCTCAGTGAGCACTTAGTAAAAGCTTCTAAACACAGAACGAACGAGCAAAGTCAAGAGGAAACGGCTGCCAGCCTCCCCACCTCTGCCCAGTGGCTCTGTGTCAACGGCTCTGAGGATGCAGGCCTTGTCACAAACGGAAGAGAGGGACACCCCCGTCTCACCTCCCTCACGTTGCTAGCGTCTCTTCACACCCGGGGCCAGGCGTGGGTCTTCCTCAGGACCCACCCACCCTGGGTTCAAGGTGGCGCCGTGTGGGGACATCCAGAGAGCCCGCTCACCTCCTTCCTGGGAGTTCATGACGTTCAGGGCGAACAGCATGGCGTTGGAGAAGGTGGTGGCCTCTTCCTTGCTCGCAAAGTTTAAGCCGTATACCTGACGGGCATCTCGCCACTGGTGGAAGGTGGGTGTAGCCTGATTGTACTTCAGCCCTTTGACGATCAAGTAATTGATCACAACCTGGGGGGCGGGGGGGAAGAGCAAGAAAGGCAGGTGAGTAACGGAAGGGGGAGGGAGCTGGAGGGAGAGGTTAATGGAAGACCACCACCTCCCCCAGGGCCACCAGGGCACAGGGACATGGTGGGGGGGAGGGACACCGCCTCCCCCAGGGCCACCACAGCACAGGGACATGGTGGGGGTGGTGGAGGATGGACACCATCACGGCACAGGGACATGGATGGGGTGGAAGTCGAGTGTAACACCCAGCAGCATTCCAGTCTACAAAACCATGTAAACCAGCTACTGAATTAAGCTGAGATTGGGATGGTTAACGTGTAAAACAGCAGGCTACTGTCAAACAGGCCGGCAGTTCCCGTATAACCGGGCTCCTTAGGGGGACGATGGGGCCACTGTGAGTGAGAGGCGACGGCTTGGCAGAGTGTGTGTGTGTGTGTGTGTGTGTGTGTCTGGTGTAACAGCACAGCATGGTCACTATGTCTGGTGAGAAGATCTGGGCTGTGGTCAGGTGCCCTGGGTCCTGGTCCTGGGTGTGCCCTGGTCACATGCAAAGAAGGCCACGGCTTCTCCTCTTACAAAACGGAGAGAATAATCTTGACTTTACAGAACCGTTGGGGTTCCTGAGGGGTGCAGGGATCCACAGTGATAAAATTCTCACCCAGATTGAGAGCTTTCCTAACCCTTGTGCCCAGAATGCCTGCCCCTGGGGCGGCCGCTGTCTTCCACTGAATGCCACTGTGGCGAATTTCCAATGAGACTCACAGGTCTTGTTTCCTAAGCCAGAATTACACCCCCTACAGTCTCGTCAGTGCCTCGCACCTGGCATGCATGGATAACTGGGTTATTAGTGAAAAGGCCACCTTGAAAACGGAGCATATCACACAATACAGCCTTATTGGATAATTCCTATGAACTAATCAATAAACATCAACTGACTGACAGGAATGAGGGCCAGCCCAATGGGGAAAGGACAGGGCCCCAGGTGTCCGACTTAGAAAATGATTGTGCTTTTTTTCCCCTTTTTAATTTTTTAATTGGGCAAGAGTTTATTGTTTGGTTTTTTTTTTTAATTCCACTCATTCATTGTTGTACTTTTCTCCCCTCCCAACCCTCCCCTCTAGTGCACCACCCTCTTGGAAAAGTAAAAGAAAAATTCTTTCATTGTTTTACAAACTCTCCCCCAGATCCACTCCACTGTGCAGCCTTCGCTCTGGACTCCTGTCATGACAAAAATACCTAATCAAATGTCCCTTTTAAACAGTTTTCTCCCTCATCTGTTTCAACACAGTCTACATTTTGTATCCCATCTTTCTCAGTCTCCCCCCAACCCCAAAGTCAGTCCTGTTTTACAACAGTGGCACCATTCAGTATTTGTCCTTTTGTGACTGAGATACTTCACTCAGCATAGTGTCCTCCAGGATAACCCATTTTGAATAATATTCCATGAGCTCCTTGTTTTTAATGCAGTGTAGTATATTCCATTGTGTGAATATACCAAAGCTTCTCTAGCCATTCATTTGTTGATGGGAACTTAGGTTGTTTCCAACTCCTTGCTATTGTGAACAAAGCTGCAATAAACATGGGTGTGCATATATCTGCTTGGATGTCAGTTATGGTCTCTTTGGGGTATATTCCCAGTAGTGGAATTGCTGGGTCTAATGGTATCTCTATTTGCAACTTTTTGAGAAAGCGCCATACTGCTTTCCACAGTGGTTGCACCATTTTACACTCCCACCAACAGTGAATAAGGGTTCCAGTTTCTCCACAACCTCGCCAGCATTTGTTGCTTGCTCTTCTGTTAAATTTTGCTATTCTGACTGGGTTGAGGTGCTATCTCATACTTGTTTTGATTTGCATCTCCCTTAGAGCTAGGGATTTTGAACATTTCTTCATGTGCTTGTTGGCCATCTGAACGTCTTCTTTGGTGAAGTGTTCATATCCTGTGCCCATTTTTCTACTGGATTATTTCTCTTTATCTTGTTGTGGTGCTCTTTTTGACTTTTGACTTTCACTCAGCTCAGCTCACTGCTTCTGAGTCAGAACCGACGCCTACCTGCCCCTCCACAGGTTCTTGGCGCCACAAATGGTGTGGAAGGTGACTGCCCCAGGGGGGCTATTTCCAAGCAGTCCAGGGTACTTAGTAAGTGGTGTGACAGGGCAGGTGGGGGATGCCTGGAGGACAGCATGTGCTGCCCCCTGCTGGCTCAGGGATTACCTGGCTGACACCAGGGAAGGTACCACTCAGATGGCAAGGTCGCTGTCCCCTCCCGGTGTATGTGACAGACCCTTACACCGTTCCCTGCACGGAGCACGCTGGCCTTGAGTAAATGGGGAAACACTACATCTCCATAAACATGATTTCATTTCACTTGGGCCCCCCATCGACACCCATGAAATCAAAAGCTGTGTTGCACCGGGGTTATCGAGGACCTCTCCAAAGTTCTAAAGAACAAAGACGCCCGTTTAAAGACTAAAGTGTGCCTGATTTAAGCCATGGTCTTATCAACTGCTTCCTACGCATCTCAGAGAAGGAAGTAGAGTAAGGAAGGCCAAAGAAGAATCGATGTCTTTGAACTGTGCTGCTGGCAAAGGGTAAGGAATATTCCACAGATTGCTTGATGCAATAATAAAAGAATGCAAACAGCCCTGGGGTGGTGCAGGTGGCCATCTGTTAAAACATGGTGAATGGGGTTTGGTTTGAGGTTCCTGGGTTTTGTGGTCTGAGGTTGGGAATACCTCTCCAACGTCTCCCTCTACCATGAAGGAGACGCAGGAAGACTCCTGGCCAAGGTCCGGCATTTCTCCCTCCCTGTGCAATGCAGCTGGAAGGTGGAGTGGGCATCCCTGGAGGAAAAACAAACGAGATCTGGCCAGGGAAAAAACGTAATTGTTTCCCAACTGAACCACTGCACAAAGACACACAAAAACCCTGGCCATCATCTCCGCAAGCACCCTTGTTTTCTTGTTCTTGGCAGAAGCTGTGCTGTTTGACATTAAAGTTTGTGGCAATCTGGTGTCAAGTAAAGCCATCAGAGCCACTTTTCCAACAGCATGTAATCCCTTCTTGTCTCCATGTCCCTGTTTGGTGACGCTTACGATATTCTAAGCTTTTTCATAATGTTACAAACACACTTTGGAAAGACTCAAGATCGTACATTGGTTCTTGTGGACTTGTTTTCATTTTCTTCAGTCTCAATTTGAACTTGAGCATGAATAACTGATGACCTGTTCCACATCAGCACCTGGTCTGGTTTTGTCAGCTTCTCCAATGATTCCTTCCACAGATGTGGTCAATCTGATTCCTGCTCAGTCTATCTAATGAGGTCCATGGGTAAACTCATTGTGTTTTTAATATAAAGCTATTTGCAATGAATGTGTTATTAAATGCACAAAATCCCATCTATTTCTGCCCTCATTTCTGTTACCAAGTCTGCACTTTCTGACTTCCATTCTTTCTTCATTATTTTCAACTTTTGCATTCCAGCACCAATTATCATTGGCACGTCTTGATTGCATGTTGTCAATTTTGGACTGTAAACTTTGGTAAATATCTTCAATTTCCTCCTCTTTGGCTTTGCTGTTGTCGTTGTTTGGTGCCATCAAGTAGAGTACAATTCACTGCGACCCTATGAACAAAAGCTCTGAACCCTGTTCTGTCTTGCGCCATCCTCACACTTCCTGACACACAAGAGCCCAATGCGGCAATCACCGTGTCAATCCACCGGTTGAGGGTCTTCTTCTCCTTCGCAGATCCTCCACCATTCCCAACACCATGTCCCTCTCCAAGGAATAGCCCTTCCTAGCAATATGTCCAAAGTATGTGAGGTGAGGCCTCATCATTCTTGCCTCCAAAGAGCACTCAGGCTGCTCCCTCTCCAAGACATTTCTATTCATTTTCTTGGCTGTCCTTGGAATGATCAGTGCTCTTCTCCAACACCACTGCTCAAAGGCATCAATTCTTTTCCTGACATCCTTATTCACTCTCCATGTCTCGTAATCAGAAAGACCATGACCTGAATCAGATGCACTCTAGTCCTCAAACTGACATTACTACTCCTCAATAATTTGGAAAGGTCCCTAATTGCAGATTTTCCCACTGCAATGTTTCTCTTTATTTCCTGACTGCTCATACAAGAATGATGAGGCTGTTGATGGTTTCAGTCTCCTCTCCATCCATCATGACACTGCCTATTGGTCTACCGTAAGAATCTTTGTTTTCTTGATAGAGTTGCAATTCATACTGAAGGCTGCATTCCTTGATCTTCAGAAACAAGTGCTTCAAACCCTCCTCACTCTCAACAAGTAAGGTTGTGTCATCTGCACAATGCAGGTTATTGATGAGTCTCCCTCCAATCTTGATGCTTCAGAGTGTGTATATTTGAATAAAAGTCATATTAACAGGTCTTCCTTGTATGAATATTAATGAAACCTAACAGTCCACAACATGGTGCTTCAGGAAATTGTCTTTTTAACCATGATTTCCACACTATTCTCCTGTTTTTCATTACTGGCGTAGTATATCACGTGATTGTCTGATTCAAAGCGGCCAAAGTCAGCCTCTCTGCTTTCACTAATGGCTAGAATGTCGATAATCACGTGTTCCATTTCACTGTTCACAAGTTCTGAACTGACAATACTCCTAGTGTGTACACTCCATGTTCCGGTTATTGACGATGTCTGCAGCTGTTTCTCCGCACTCTGACTTCCAGTCTCAGCTCCACCCCTATCATCATGTTGCTCATAGGCTATGCTTTTGAGGCTAAGCCACTTGAATTTAAAATCATCTTTTTTCATTTTTTTAAAAAATTTTCTACTAGTTTATTTACAAAAGTTGAATATGTCGTTTTCAAGAACAAATTGTTTTTCATTTCCCTCACCCCGTCATCCGTCAAATTTCACAACTCCATCATTAATCCCCCCTCCCCCTGCACATCCTCAACCCTCTGCTTCCACCTCTCCCACCTGTCTCGGATCCTTATATTAATTCTACAACAACAGTTAGT